ATTAATTTTCAGTGATCATTTATTATCTAAATATAATAGACTAGAAGTGTGCTTAAAAATTAACGTATACATATACTTATTTATGTACATAAAATTTATATGTATGCACATACACATACATCTGGCACGACAGTTTACATATTAATTAGCCATTTTGTTAGCTAAAGTCCACTTAACACTTTTTTCTGAATGGAGTATTAAAAAAAAACAAAACATTTGATAAAGTAATTCAATTAGGACCTTTTGCGCTGATTAACACGATATAAGTATATATACATATATACATACGTATGCACATACAGGCAGAATTTTTACATAATGCATAGACCTACAGACATACTCTACTTATAAGTTGTCACGTTTGTGAGTATGAAAAACTTCTTAACCGCACAAAGATTTCATTTTTGTTTAGTAATCGTTAGGCAAACATTTGTGTCAGCACAGATAAACAGAGAGATTATGTTAATATTTTATACAAAACTGAAGTCACAAATAGCACCTTTGACAACTTGTTTTGTGAGCTTAAAATATTATGGTAAACAAAAAATTTTTATCGCTAGAAAAGTTGAACAGCAAAATGTAGAGAAAGAACTGCGAAGTTCCAGAGAAATGCGCGTAGTTACTTTGTATTGAATCGAACTTGATTTATGTGCATACTTTACAATTCGCCAGAAGGCAGAGTAATTGCGCTAACTTTCGTTTAATGCCCAGTTAGAGAGACACGTAACATCATTCTATTTTTACTAAGAAATAAGCAGTAAACTGAAGTAAGTATCTATATACAAACATATGTAGTTATTGTTGACGTCATTGTTGCGATTGACGTGCTTAAAAAAAAAACGCTAAATTATCTTTTATAATCAACACATGTTATTAAGCTATCATTGTTTTAGAATTATTTTCTAACTGATAAAATATGACTTTAGAGACATACTACATTTGTACATACAGTTGGAACTTATCTACAGCTGCGCATTTTTGAAAATATCTTGAAATGTGGTTTATTGGTTTTCATTTGCGTGATTTGTTTTTTTCTTTAATGAAAGTTTTTAAAAATTGCGGTTGTTGTTTATTTGTAGAGACACTACTAAGCCCCCGCCTATTTCGGTTCAACCTTCAATTATTGTCCTCAAGTTCAACTAACGGTAGGCCCAGGAAACGGGCATTTTCAGTAGGGTCGGGCCAAAGGGAGAGGGGTGTTAGTTGAGTGGGACTAAGCTGGCATGTGAAGAGGTGGTTTGTGTCGTGCGGGGAGTCTCCACTTGCCGGATACTCAGGGGGGTTATTGGGGTCGAGTCCGGACAGATAGCTGTTGAGGTGGCTGCAGTATCCAGACCGTAATTGGGCCAGGGTAACGCGGGTCTCTCTTGGAAGTTGAAGCTCCGTCTCTGCCACAGGTGGTGATTGGGCTGCGATCACGACATTTATAGGCCGGGAGCCTTGGTAGGCAGTGACCGACTCCCTATGAATGTCGTGGATGACTCGCCGGTACGTCGTCGGGTCCAGTGGTTGGTCGACCGCATCCTTATATGTGAATAGACGCCATTTGACGTGCCTGGGCGGAGGCTCCTTCTGTAGTAAGAGTCTCTTAAGGTGTTAACTTCTGTGGTACCCCACTAGAAACTGCTTACAGAACATTTTGTTGCACTCCCCTGCGAGCATTTGGGTGGTGCTCAGTCGACATCAGAAGGCACCTTGTCTATGTCCGGAGTGCGGCGTTCTGACAAGTCTGTAGCTTCGTCCACTGCGTCCATTTTGACCCCGGCGACCAAACTGGTGCTACATAAATTAGAACCGGCCGGCCGATTGACTTATATGTTGCCAGCAACGTTTCCTTGTCTTTGCTCCAGACATTGCCGGCGAGCGACTTGCGAACATTGTCGCGGCTCTGTACTTTGTTGACAACTGCGGTTTTGTGCGTGGAGAAGGAGGGCCAGCTATCAAAGGTGACCCCTAATTATATGGGAGCTGTCGGCGTGAATGCCTAGTTAGACCCTGACCTCCTTCGTCCAGGTGGTGAAGAGCATCGCCGTTGATTTCGTTAGTGAGAGTTGCAGAGAAGAAGCGAGAAAGGCTGGAGAGATAGCCGTTCACGAACAAACATATGAAGGTGCCTCACTATGACAATGATGTTCTGCTGACATCTGAAGGCATCTTGTGGGAGTCTTAAGTGCGGCGTTATGACAGTCCTTGTGCTTCGTCCACCACGTCGTACCAGTCCGCGGCGACCACGCAGGCTGTTAGTAGTTTAGAACTAAAACCTTTTCACACCGGAATGGCTAGAGTTTTCTTCATCAAGTGTTGTGGGTTCAGCGATCTAAACCAATTTAGAGTAGGCTTACCCTTTTTTTATCGACGTTACAGAGCTCAGCATCCAAACGAATTATTCGACTTCTGAAGGAATTCTGTGGTAGTATTATACCTTGAACTTCTAGGGCGGTAACAATCCGTGTCATAAAGTCCGCTCTGTTCTAAGATTCATAAACTCGCCTGAGCATTTGGCGCGCTGTTGCTTCTGAAATGGTGTATTCTAAATCCTCCACAATTGGCAGTGCGTTGTGCTCATTTGTCCATCATATTTTATCCTTATTAAGTAGACAAAGCCTCTTATATGTAAACCAGTGGTTTCCCTGCTAAGAGTCCACGTTAGGGATGATAACTCTACCTGTGGTGTTTTCTTTATTTCAACGCCAATTTTAGCCACAATTGATGGAGAGACCAGTTTTTACAGGCATTTAATACTGAAAGACGTGACAGATATAAAAAACCTTTCATCCCATCCCAACTTCTACGTTCTGCTAATTGTTTAACCCTCCCTAGTATGCACTATCTCTTTATACATATGTATAAATATATATTTGTGTTGTATACTTTTTATTAAAATGTGCATTCCTATTGATTGCCAAGTCTTCATTTATTCCGCTGTATTCTGGTAACTTCCACTTTACGCCGGTTTTTTTTTGGTAAACAATAATACAATATATAAACATAAACACACATACATACCAGTATTCTTGTTTGTTTTAAAGTGGTGATATCACCGAGGATCGTAATTAAAAATAAAACAAAGTAACCAATTTAAAAAGGTGTGCAATCGTTCTGCCATTTGGTGCTTTTTGCCCAAAAACTCAACGCTATTTTCATAACTTTTGGCACAAAACCTGTTACCGCTTTTTGTTTTTCCGTCTGGCTCATACTTGTCCTTTTTTTTTGGCGGGTAATTTTTTACGCGCACATGTAAATGAGATTTGTAAGCGTGCGTGTCGCGCCGGGTGGCGTTAAATTTTTATTTATTTATAAAAAAGAGGCGTTTTTCAGTCAGAGTAGCGTCTGACCGAATTACGAAAAAAAACTTCAAACGAGTATGTCACTCGAAAAAGTAAGTACTATGTAAGTAATCGTGTTTTCCATTACAATGTGTACTACATATGTATGTACATATAAGGCATTTTAAATTAATTTCAATGAAACGCTCTGAGTCACGTGGGTTCCTTTATTAACTTATTTGTGTTTGTTTTGAAAATGTTTAGCTTTACAATTTTAACGAATTATTATTACTTTAATTTTGAGCGTCATTAATTTGGCGATTAATGCAGCTTTATCGATAACCCGTTTTCGATTTTCATTGTTTGCAGACGATTTATAAACATTTATAAATTATCCACGTGCCCTTTGTGTTTGTGCAACAAAGGTAAATAATGAGAAAAGGATTGATATTGTATTTCGGGTTCAAAGGCAACTCTTCTCCAGTGCGAACAAGTAAATTTATTCGAGGAGAAGAAAAGAGACTCGTAGTTAAAATAAAGGGGCGCATTAACAAACATATATACATACGTATACATATATACATACATACGTAAACTGGAACAAAACTTTTTGGTACATAATTCAAAAACAGGACCTAATTTTATTGATAATCTTAAAATTATACATAATTTCGAGGCCATTTAAAAATTGGACATCAGTCCGAAGCAGCGTAAAAAACGACATAATTATTTGGTAATTAAAAATCTGGACATAGTTTTAGATAATATAAAAATTGGACATAATTTTATGGTAACTAAAAAACTGATCACGATTTCTTAGTAATTTAAAAAAGGATATCATTAGTTATACATACAATATGAGCATATTTTCTTGTAATTTAAAAACAGGAAATCTGGGCATTTTTTTATTTGTATTTGAATTTTCGATAATTTAAAAAACTCTACATAGTTTCTTGGTAATATAAATTTGTAATAATGCAAAAACTGGACATAATTGTTTAGCCATTTAAAAGATACATTTTGGCAATTCAAAAGCCGGGTACCATAGTTTAAAATTGGACATACAGTTTTGGTAATGTGAAAACTGGACATCGTTTTTGGTTAACTTAAAAACTGGACATAATTTTTGGCCATTTAAAAACTTGGAACAGTTTCTTTGTAGCTTAAAACTAGATATAAATTTTATTTGGCTATCAAAAGGCTGGAGATGATTTTTTTAAGTCAGATATATATATGTAGGTTTTGGATAATTTAAAAACTGAACATATATGACTATTTGTTAATTTTATATATGGCCATCATATTTTAGTAATTATTAAATTGATCATAATTTCATGGATATCTTAAACTAGAAATTTGTGTTTGAGTATTTGAGAAATGGACATCATTTTCGCAAACATATCCACATACATACATACATATTCTCAGCGCATTTTTTCATATTTTTTTGTTTGCTTTTCATTAATCATTGTCGCTTTCTAACGTATAAGAAAAAATTGAAAGCGTGCTAGCACGAAATGTTGGCCATATGGAAATGTATGTAAATGCAAGGCACCACTGAAAAATCCGAAATGGTATGGTTCTCGTTAGCAATGCAAATTGGCTTTGGCATTTTCGCTATGTAAAAGAGGCGTTCCCATCGTCTTCGGCTCCGGATGTAAAATGAGCTCTTAAAGGAAACACCAGTTAGTGCACGAAAGGAAATTGTTGGTATTTATACTTTGTAATGAAGCAATGCGATTAAATTATGGCGATTATGGCTGGTGCTCTTGGATTAGCTTGTAAGTGATCGTTTTGCTATTAGCTGTAAAAAAATTTGTAGTCATTGCAGACGAAGTTTCCGATTTCAGAATGTATGAAAGCTTAGCAGTAAAAAACTATATATCCCACTTTGGTATGTGTATTTAAAAAATGTGAATAATTTTTGGGCATTTAGGAAGTGTATATAAGTTTTGCTAATAAAAAATTGCATATTTTTTATGATTTGGAAACAGGTAATATCTTAAGGACCGAGCACTTACAACTAATTTTACCATTAAAAAAATTGGACATTGCTTTTGGAGCATTCAAAGACTGCACACAATTTTTGGGCTTTCATAAAATTGGGGATCTTGTGCAAAGACATATTTTTGCTAATTAAAAACTGTAAATTTTTTACAATTTAAATCTGGATAGTGCTTTCGGGACATTGAAAGACGGCAACTTAAACCTGGACATACACTTTTGTTAATTTAAAAACTTCATTTTCTTTTTTATTTAACAGAGAATTACTTTAGGAAAATTTAAGGACTAGACACACGTTGGTAGGAAATTCGGCAAGACAGATATGGTTTAACAGAATCTCTAGAAGGTGGAGACGTGGGGTTATGATTCGCTAGGGAAAACGGCACCTTTTTTCAGTGGGGGTTCCCTAATAGACTTAAGTGTGAAATTCCAACCACTTAGTTTAAGGCTTTACATTTATCTTTACATAAAATATACTGTATTTATTTATTAATCTCCACACCAGATGCAAATTTATCTTTGTACATATGTATGTACATATGTATGCATGTTAGCTTTCTCCATTTATGTGCATTCCAAGCAAAACATTTACATTTAAATTATCTATATGCATACCTACATTAGGGTGGTCCTTAAAAAACATCAAATGAACGATTTTTTTAGTCTCACTCCTCATTTTGGTTCCGATTGGAGACGATTAAGGCGTGCCGCACGTCGGGAAAAGTTCACATTCTTCTATAGAGACTCAAAAACTTAAAATCATTTTTTTTTCATCTAATACCCAAAATCGATACTACCATAGTCGAAGATATCACATACACATTTTGGTCTCAATTGGAGTCCGTTAAGACGTGTCGCAATGGGTCAAAGGCCAGAAATCTCTATGGAGACTAAAAAAATTGATTTTTTTTTTCATTTAGTATCCAAAATCGATACTACTAAAGTCGCTTAAAACGTTTTCATAG